GTCCATTTCATAATAGGGTGTTATAAACTCTCTCTCTCTCTCTCTCTCTCTCTCTCTCTCTCTCTCTCTCTTCATTATTGCTTGATTTTTTTGAACGTTGTAGATTTACCAGTTTGGGCTCTATTAAAATGAGATTTTGAGATAAAATATATTTTGAAATAGTGATTTTTAAAGAATGTGTGATTAAAAAATAAGGAAAAACTTTGAATTTATTTATAACATTATTTTATGGGAAAGTGTGTGGTTGGAAATGAGTTTTGAAAAAATTGAGTTCAAATAAGGGCTTATTTTTCATAATCATCCTTTTTCTTTAACTATTTATTACAAACAATAAAGCTAATTGCACAGGCTTAAATCCAGGTTGAAAAACAGGAGTTTGAAATATCCAACGTGACATGAATCTTTGGAGGCAAAAATGTTTTATTGGGACCACAATTATAACACTCCAACTATTCCACGGTGACATTAGTTTTTTTGGAGGGAAGCTAAGTGAGTGTGGACTACAAAACTTTTTTCCACAATTATTTTCTACTTTTCCCAAGGTTCTCCTTGTAGATAAAAAATCATACGGTCCCAAATTCTTCACTTTCCCGTTGATAGGATGTGAAGCATATTTGACAAGTGCGAAAATCAGTCCCAATGGGAGTTTATCGGGTGGGAATGATATAAAGCTGCACAAGCTATTGAAGTCAGGTTCTAGAGTGTGAAATTGAGTTTTGGTCATCAAGGTGTAAATACTATGTAGTTATGAAATCAAATTGGAAACTTGCCTTCTCTTTTTCTTTTGTTCACTGGGTAAATACGAATGAGTTATAGCAGCAGAGATGTTAAAAGATTTTGAACAAAAGTTTTAAGCCGGTTATAAAAATTGCGCTGCAAATATGGTCAAAATGAATCTTCTTTTTAACAATTTAAGATTTTAGATGAACTACAAGATTTTTCTACAGTTACGAGTTTTTTTTTTTTTCCTTTCAACGAAATATAACACAATATTATATAGCTTTGAGCGGTACATCCCATACAAGTTAAAATCACGAGTAAGAGCAAATTAAGATGACATCAAAAAGGAAAAGTTCGACCTAGCATTACCTGTATCTTTCCAGCTCTAGCAAAAGTACTCTTATTCTACATCATTTGACTTTATTCCTTTTTGTACTCACTTTCGTTTTAACTGCTATTCTTAAAAGCCATCTTTAGTATGCAGTAAATGGAAGAAGAAATTGGTTTACCATAGGACTGAATCTCAGCAATGACTGAATAGAACTGTCAGCTAAGGACCAAAATTTTTAACGATATAAGACATGGAGTGTGCGATAAAAGAAGAAGAACAACGGTGGACTTATGAATTAACAGATTCTACAGCTGTAGGGTAAGAAAATACTTTATATAAATTAGAACAGAAAATTGACGATTGTGTCAGTATTGTCCGAAGTGCTATAAAAGAGTCAGTAGTACAAGAAATTGTCGATTTCTCTCAAATTCTAAGCTATTATCACAACAAAAATCGATAATTTCTTAAACATGACCTTAAATATGAATCAGTCATTAAGTCAGCATTTCTTAGACACGATTATCTTACAATCTCTTTCGACTATATAATTTTTTAGCATACACGTAGAATCAGTGATGTTTGC